ATAAAAAAATTTAAATATGCTACACTTCAAAAAAGGACTATGGCACTTTACTGAATAATATGGTTATGAAGTGATGAAACCACAGATGTTTAAAGAACTTTCTACACAAAATAGAGTATGTTACAATCTTGAGCTTGTTAGCAGACAGGTTTTTACAAATCCACAGCAAACATTTTGAGAGCTTCTGTAGTGCATTAAGAAGCAGATACACTTCAGGTCCCATAATGAAGTTAAACTTGCCTAAAACCGACTGAAAAAACATGTTTTTGAAGGTCATTGTTTAGGAGAAGGTGAAATTCAACAGAAATTTTGAACAGCCATAAAAAGCAGTGTGTTTACATATCTGAAAAATGAAAAAAAGTTCTGTGGCATGAAACCATCTTACCATTTGCTAGAAAAACAGAGCCCTGAGAAAACCAAGAGTCTGATTTGTTTCTGCATTTCTTCCCAGCGTGTCTTCCCCTCTGTGCCAGTCACTGAGCATGGGTGGATGAACATAACATCAAACTGACCTACCATAACATAATCAGTTATGTTATACAAAAACAGTCAGAGAAGGTGCCCCTCTTTGGTCACAAGATCAGAAAACAAAAGCAAAACATTCAACTAAAACAGCTATTGTGTGTACTGTATTCTAAAATCCAACACTAGCATTTTTAGCACTTTATAGCCAATGTAATGCAGTATGTTCTAATAATACATTATAGGGGTGGTTACACGGTTTGGTTTGGTTTTATTCACAAAGGTCATAGACAGTGTGCAGTCCAAAGCAGTGTACTGAGGCATTGTGTTATGCACCTTCTGAACTTAGTGGTTTGACTCTTTTTTTACACTATATGACACTAATATAAAGGAGAAAAAAATCACACAGTAAAATCAGAATATAAAATCTGCCTTCATTGTAGTGCCATTTCCACAATGCTTACTGGACCCTCAAGCCCCATGGAACAGTCTTTATGGTGGCAGCTCCTCCAACCTGTGCAGCACCCTTTCTAGTAGGGGGCTGTTAAGGGCCACCAGCTGCAGGAGGGTGGCTCTTTGCAGAGGCAGGTCAGTCATCCCCTGGGAACATCTGGCTGGATGTGTGCTCTCAGCATATGCAAAATCTATTTCTAAAAAGGAGCCCTGCTCAGCCACACCAGGCAGAGGCACCTGCAGCGATTTTTTTTTTTTTTTTTTTTTTTT